TTGCATTCATAATTTTTAGTTTGCTCCTATCTCCCTTTTGTTTTTCTTTTCTTTATTGGTTGTAGTTTTTTTTCTGTCATCCATGATTTTTTCTCTTTCTTTTTGTTTATTGAAAGTGTCTGTCTGCATTGTTCTTTTATTATGTCCCTGGCTTCAGACCATAGTTCCTCTGGTTCTCGGTCTATTATGCTTAGTAGTGCAAATCTGTTTCTTATGTTGTCATAAATTCTGTTGAGATATTATTTAGATCATATTTTGGTATAATCACTGGTTTTGTTTTCTTCTTGAGTCTTACTTTTATTTTTGATATGAGTAATTCGTGATCTGTGCCACAGTCGGAGCGTGGTCTAGTCTTGGCCACTAGTATAGAGGTCTACCATCTTTTACTTCCAATTATATGATCTATTTGATTTTTGTGTTGACCATCTGGCAATGTCCATGTGTATAGCCTTCTTTCTGGTTGTATGAAAAATGTGTTTGGCTTCACAAAACTCTTATCAGATGCTCACCTGCTTCATTTCTTTTGCCTAATCCAAATCTGCCTATTGTTTTTGATTTTTCCTTGCTTCCAACTTTTGTATTCCAGTCTCCAATGATCAACTTGATATCCTGTGTTGGTGTGTTGTCAATTTCTTCCTGTACTCCTTCATCGAATCTATCAATTTCTTCCTGTTCTGCCTCTGTGTTTGGTGCATATCCTTGAATTATGGTGATATTCATAGGTTTCCCATGGAGCCTTTCTGAAATGATTTGGACTGATTTTGCATTGTATCATCTAACTGCTTTTACAACATCTTTTCTTAGTATGAAAGCTACCCCATTTCTTCTTTTCATTGCCTGAGTAGAACACTGTGTGGTTGTCTAATTGAAAGTGGCCCATTCCTGTCCATTTTAACTCACTCACCCCCAGTATTGCTATGTTCATGCATTGCATTTCCATTTTTATTATGTCTAGCTTCCCTTGGCTCATGCTTCTCACATTCCATGTCCCTGTTTTATGTGTAATGCTGCTTTGGATGTCATTTGCCTTTCTAAGGGTATCTGCTATTTGTCTTGTCATCTTTCTTATGCCCTTGCTAATCTGGCAAATGTGATATTCCTATATCTCTCCCTCCTTCCCTTTCTATTAATACTCTGATCCTGCCTGTGTCTCACTTGGGGTGTCTCGTCTAGATTATGGGTTTTACTAGGTGATGCGTAGTGCCAACCAATGTTAGCTATAGTGTCACAATTCACTCCTGTCAGTAACACCCACCACTACTGCTGCTGCCCAGTAGGTGTTTGTCTCCCTATATTATTCCTCCCATCGTTGTTTCTTTGCTTTTCTACCCATCCCCTTATGCCTCCTTGGGTTTCCCTTCTTCCTTCCCTTTGCTTCTCTTCCCTTGTGTCCTCCCTCCTTTAGTGTCAAGGAAAAAGCAACATGGGACATACAGTAATAGAAATAAA